TTTTATTTTGTTGTATTTATCCGCGACACCTTAAAGGCCAGTCCGTGAAAATATTGTCGGGCATAAACCGGTCCATGGCGCAAAAAAGGTTGGGGACCGCTGCTGTACAGCTGTGTGTTGTGTAGCTATTTAAAATGTATTTTAAAATTATGTTGCAGTCTTTTAGTATTTTTCTAATAATTTTTAAACACTCTAACAAACCCAAAAAGTAATGAAGTGATCTTTCAAATGCACATTCAAGGCAAAACATCATTCCCATTGACAAAGTATTTTCAAACAGTACTCAGTTATGGTATGAGAGTTTTTTAAAGGTCTGCACAGCAATTTAAAATGTCATTTTCCACATCACATAAAATCTGTTTTAACAAAAGAGCAGTTGTGGAGGCAAAACTAACTGCAAACTAGCTTCAAACTGTGACAAGAAATTAGAAACGTAAACAAAGTCAAAAATGAGCGTGTCCTTGTCCAGAGGACAATTAAAGCTAATCTGAGTTGGCTGTGGGTAATTAAAGTGTCTTCCTGTGTTATTGACTATCAGTATCCACAGCCTTGCTTTTTGCTCCTATCCCCAGTTCCTCAAGTCTTTTCTTTTTTTCTCTCTCTCCATCGTGTTAGCTTCCTGCTGCTGTTTTCCACTTCCATACGTCAATAGTCATTAAACACAATCTCATTGTCCCATCCCATCAACATCTCTCTCTCTCTTTCACTCACACTCACACACACACACACACACACTCACACACACACACAGGAGGTCTGTTGGTTCAATAGTTGATTAGTGTCTCTCCTAATAGTCCTCTGTCCTATGATCACTAATAGACAGGTTTAGTAGACTGGAAGACACACAGTAAACAATACCACAGTCCAATTCATATTATTGACAAAGTCTACAGAAATTCATTCTATCCTAGCAAAGCAACTTGCATATTACGTTTTTTTCTAAATGAGAGAAGGGGAAAATCGATGCTGAAAATCTGACAGTTGCAGAAATACAGAATAACAGGATGATGACAGGTTGTCTCCAACGTCCCGTCAGAGGAAATGTACTGACATTTGTTGAGTATCACAAGATACCTGTCCTATATTGGTGTACTAAACTATCAGCAGACAGCCAGTCAGTCAGACAGGTAGCCAGTCAAAAACCTACAACAAATGCACACTCAACCATTCATTTAATGGGATATAGAGTTGCATATTTTCTTCCACAGATACTTACATCACTATGATATGGACTGATGAGTGCATGGTGCTGGCTCAGTACTTCCACGATAGACAGAGATGTTCTAATTAAATCTTCACATATTGCTGTACCTAAAGAAGAATCAAACATAATAATACAAATACTCATGTTCTCAATAAAAACTGACCCGTAACTGAATACCTTTTAAGGATAGTCATATATTCTGTTTGTGATTTGCTGATAACATGGCCTTTGAGCACGGCGCTTTATCACAGCACTTGATTCAGGTGCTTGAAGAGTGGCTGAGCCCACACCGCAGCTTGGCCTTGTTGGCAGGCATTTGTAATTCAGTGTCATAGCTGTCTTCAAGTGCTGTATCTGTCTCTCTCCTTACCGTCTCCATGTCAATACAATTCAATATTGACTTGTAAGATAGGCTCGAATATATAATAATCATTTTAACTACGTTATTTATTCTTTTATCCTTCATTTAACCTGACAAGTTAAGCAAACACACTGTGCAACTTTAACAAACAATGCAGTACATGAAGCTCTGTAGAATCACAGTACCACAGACTAATCATGTGAAAAGGGAATACTACTGCAGATATGGCAGAGGTTGATATCCAGTGATAAAGTATTCATACCTGTAAAGATACTCACCCATAGCACTAGCCAGATTTGTTTCATTGGACTCTACTGAGGCAATGAAGTTCTGTCAAGAGATATTTAAAAACTTGATGTGAGTTTTGCTTTGAAACTGTCAAACATTCAAAGTTTTCCTTATAAAAAGTTAGTTGTGTGAATGTCAGAGATGTTTTAAGAATTTCAGTACTGACAGTAAGAGAGAAAGGCACCACCAGTCTCAACAATTTGTAAAACTGTAACTACACTACTGCCTTTAAAATAATTTAGGTTAATTTCATTTATTCTATAATTGAAAAAATATATACAATCAACATGTCTCCATGTTAGAGCAACAAAATGTGATCAACTAAAAACTTCACTTCACTTTAACATTTGAAATTACAAATATCCTAGTCCACCCTATCTGTTAGTTTTATTATTTGCCTTTAGCATGTGGAGACAGATAATGTGTCAATTTATGACTGGTTACCAAACACTTACCAACAGCAACCCAATTTGAGCTAGAAACTGTCCTGCTACAATGTGAGATCTAAAGACCTGTGAGGAGACAGACACATTTTATAAAGGTAAGTCAAGATAATGTGATCAGGTGACAACTGAGAGTGTTACAAAACAAGAAGGGAGGGAGGTGATGATTTAGGTCTGCCTCGTTTTTATTATTTAATGTGACTATTTTGGAAAGTCTCCTGACTTTTCTTTTAGTGCCATGTACTAAATAAATGAAAACTCTGTGTTCAAAAATAAGAACTGCTGTTTGTCATTTATGAGAAAATCTATGTGAGAAACTGCTAAAGGTTTTAAAACCAAACACTGTGGAGAAGTAATTTTGCTCCATTTACCTGGGATGAAACAAGGTCCAGCACTATGGACAAAGTAGGCAAAGTTTGTTTGAGTTGTTTACTTTGAGCAGTAGTTGGGTGTCTTCTCCCAATCACACCTCTGAGGGCACACAGAACATCCTCTAAAGAAAGGAGACAAGGCAAGGAGTCGCAAACAGATGAGAAGGAATTTAAGAAGGTGGCTATCATCTATCTTCATTAAGATTATATATCATATACTATATTATGTTATGTACTGGTAAATTTCTCTTGCATCTTAAACCCTACAAATATATGCGTCTATTTTTCCCAAGTATCACATTTTTTCTTCTAGCACAAGAACCAGAAACAAATAAAGTTTCCATAGTAACCTGACAATGAATGAAGAGTTTTGTAGATGTCAGATTTTAAAAAAATTCTCAGATGTAGTAATGCTAAGGGAAATCAAAAAAAATCAACATGTCAAATGAACTGATTTACAAATTTCTGTACACATGGAGGTGAAAACACAAATGGCAGATGGATAATCATACAGTAGTGTGTGTATTTGTGTGTGTACCCATAATCACTGGTGCGGTGCTGCTCAGATATGCAATCAGTAAATCGAGACACTGAGACAAGTATCCTGATTGGCTGGGGTTCTCTCTGAGAGGCGTGGCTTTGCGGAGGTCTCTCTCCAGGTATATCACAAGTCTAGACAGAAAGAAATATTTTCAGCCCTCTATGTAACATTGCAGATACATCAAGTGTGTTTAATGGTTACCAGTGTTTCGTCTGCTCCATACATTGTTAGTTGTTCAGCAGCATGATTAAGTGAGACAGACCCATTAACAAGAACATGATAATCAATGCACAGCAGTAAAATTTTGATAGGGTACAAAATAAGGGGGCAAGAAGTCCATGACACACACAATTTAAGAACATATTTATTCTCATCAGAGTGTATGTACTCAACAGTAATCAATAATTTTCTCTTTACAAATTCTGAGCAGGGAGAGAAGGTTACCACCACTAACTCATATTCATTACCAGCACATAAGTACATGCTTATGTATATCATCTCACGCACGCACACGCACACACACACACACAGAGAAAATAAACAGAAAATAAATGGAGAAATTCAGAGGGGTTCGAAGCTTTAGAGTAGCAATGATGCAGGGGACCGGTGGATTACAAATTCTGCATTTTTTTTCTCACGTTGTTCCATAAAAGATGATCATCCATGGTTTACAACTATATAGAACAAGAAATACTTAACTGTTAACCTGTTGTCCAGTGCATTTCTTGAGATTATTTACTTCATTTATTGTTACATTATTTTTGTTTAGTGCAAAGCATTGCAACCTTGAGCCTGGCAACTGAGAAAGACCTTCAGATTACTTATTAAGTTTAATTATTTATATAAATTTTATATAAATTTTAGCCTGGTTGGTACGGCCAAAGTTAAATCTCTGAAAGAAGCAGACATGTTAATGCAATCCTATTTTTATATCATTATTCTAATTTTGTTTTAACTGAATTTTTCTTACTGTCAATGTCATTGTCATTATGTAATGTCATTAAAAAAATCTATATATTATTTTATCTGCGCAGGGTTATTCTTGTTGTACAAAACTAAACCATTAATAACAACAAAGTGTTAATAGCATTTTTAAGTCTCACATTTAACAATTATAATGGAGAACTAGGACTGGTGATGCACAGTAAAGAAGAAATAAACCAAAATGATAAAAATACACAGATTTCATGCAGTAAGTATCATATTATGTTAATGTCATGTTAAGATCCTGTTCCAGATGCAGAAAAAGCCTTTGACAGGGTCGAACATATATAAAGTACTCTCTCGGTTTGGCTTTGGCAGTTACTTTATGACTTGGGTCAAAATATTATATAATACAGCTATAGCCTCAGTTACAACCAACAACATTATATCTAAACCCTTCAATCTAGGTAGAGGTACACGCCAAGGCTGCCCCCTTTTCCCTCTTGTCTTTGTACTAGCAATTGCACCATTGGCTATTGCCATAAGGAGCAACCAAAATATCTCTGGCATCAGAACAAACAATATTGAGTCCAAAATTGGATTGTTCGCAGATGACATTATTTTAATGCTGTCCAAATTAAAGAGCTCAGCTACTCAAAACAATTAACTCTTTCGGCAACATCTTGGATTATAAAATTAAATAATCCAAATCGGCCATCCTCTTCTTTAAACATTCTGAAAGAATGAAACCACTCATTCAAACAATGTTTCAAGTTGCCAGAGACAGTCTTACTAGGTATAAAAATCACTCCTAAAATAGATGATTTGGTACACGCAAACTACGTTCCAACAATCAACTCTGTTGTTGAATCAATCAATAGATGGTCTATGCTGCCAATCTCTCTGATTGGACGCATAAACATTCTTAAGATGAACGCTCTCTCAAAATTTCTTTATCTCTTCCAAGCCATTCCTCTCAGCCCTCCAGATGACTTCTTCACTAAGGCAAAAACAATATTCACTTCATTTGGAATAACAGATGAGCCGAACTACGCCTATTGTTAATGTATCTTCCGTATGATAGGGGAGGTCTGGGTATTCCAAACCTCAAATGGTACTACTGGGCTGCCCAACTCTCTACAGCCTCATGCTGGATTTCAACGACAACCTCATCCTGGGTAAATTTAGAAAGGACAAGCACCCCCTTACTGCTCAGTTCTTGCCTGTACTCAGCAAAATATAAAGATTTGATGAAAGATACACTGAATCCGTTTGTTAAAAATACCAGTCGTGTCTGGTTTGATGCACTTAAGTTTAAAAATGAGACACAAGCACTATCGCAGTTCTCGCCTATCTGGGGTAATAAGACCTTTGAACCCAGTTGGAAAGATTTGGGTTTTAAAGTGTGGGCTGCCAGAGGCTTGTGCAAAGTTGCAGACCTATTTGACAAGGACAAAGGAAATTTGGCATTCCAACTAAACATTTCTTCAAATCAGAAGCTTTATGTCAAACTAGACATGGCACGATACCACTTTTTTATGTCCGATACTGATATCATAAATTTGGATATCTGCCGATACCGATATGAATCCGATATAGTGTGTTTTTTAATCAATAAAACTGTTTTTTTAATATCTTGCTGCTTTTTGTATAAGTTCATACTCAAGTTAAAAAAAACAAACACTAAAGCTATTCTGTTATACCTGTATGCAAAAAATACACTGCACCCAAAATATTTCATAGTTCAGCAATACTGATCAATCTAATAAACTTAAACCTACTCCATCCTCCCTATTCTGGTATTTTAAAGAGTAAGCAACCTAACTAATATTGTTCTAAAACTCCCAGCAAAAAAATAAAAAAATAAAAAATAGGGAACAACCCCCCACCCTCCACCTCATGATGCTTAATTGACGTAATCAACTATAATTTGATGCAGTGTGAAAACAAAATACACAGAACTCAGTTATTTTTCAAGAATAATTAAATCAATTCAACATCTTTCTTCAACAAAATTGCAGACTGCACAGATTGTACCTTCCCAAAGGAAAAAGTACTATAGCTTACTAGGGTATATTAGACTTAATAGTTAATATATACAGTAATGGACTTCTATACAGTTTACATCAGATTAAAACTTTGGGTGTAAGATTC